GGAGACTGGTTCCCGCTCACTGGTTGAGCGTGGTGCGGGCGCAACACAGAGGGTTGCGATCCCGTTGCCGGTCCCCGGTGTGGGCGCGACACCGAGGGTTGCGATTCCGCCGCAACACAGAGGGTTGCGATCCCGTTGCCGGTCCCCGGTGCGGGCGCGACACCGAGGGTTGCGATTCCGTTACCGGTCAGTAAAAGAGACAAAAAGGAAAAAAAATAAATAAATAAAAATAAATAAATAAATAAAATAAACCACCTTTTATCCTTTTTGGAAAAGGATAAGATAAATGTTAATCTACACATAAAAGTATTAAAAGAAAGCATTTAAAATACTAATTATCTAAATCCAGGCTACAGGCCATCCCTGTTGACCCAGCACCAGACCACCCCTCACAGATTCAGGCCCCAGGCCCACCCATGAAGACACCAGGCTCTAAGACAGTTCCCACAGACCCAGGTACCAGGCCCATGCAGCACCAGGCTAACCCCAACAGACACAGGGTCAAGGACCACCCAAATGCCATGCCATCCCCCACAGACACAGGTTCCAGGCATACTCCTGAGAACCAAGTGTTATCCCTACAGATCCAGTTGACAGGCCCATCCCAGAGGACCTTTGTACCAGGCCAGCCCCTTTAGACCCCAAATCCTGTCCTGACCTAGTAGGCACAGGCTCCAGGCCCAAACACACAGACTCAAGTACCAGGCTGGCCCCAATACAGCCAGGTACCAGGTCAGTACACCTGCTGACCCAGGTACAAGGCCAGTCCTCAAGATAACTACAGCAGCAAGGACACCATGGCCCCTGACAGATGGACTGCCCAAAATCTCTGTACAAACTGAGAGACAGGCCTTCCCTGCCAAAGGCAGTCTGTGAAATTTCAAAGTGGAGCCTACTTCAAATGCATATATGCCAAGGCCACAAGGATAATGAAAAGTCAGGGAGACCTGATACCATCAAAGGAACATAACAAAGTATCTGTAACCAAACCTAAAGAAATAAAGACCTTAGAACTGCCTGACAAAGAATATAGACTAATCAAATTAAATAAGTGTCGGGTCTGCCACCGGCCGACCCGAACAGCCCTAGCCTCATTCCTTTTGGTGGGTGAGCAAATGGCCTGGATTCCTCTTTCCCTCTGGTTCCCGTTGGGAGGAGACGGGGGAAGAGAGCCATGAAGAGAGGTGAGCACAACCACCGGCCCCAACCAGCCCGTTAAAGGACACTCAGACGCGGGAGGGGTTCTGTAGAGCAGTTCCGTTTATTATCACACAAGCACTTGCTTTTATAGGCAGATGGGGAGGGGAGATNTTATCAGGAAGTGGCCACTGCTCTACCCAAACTGGGGGCCCATTTACCCAATGGATGGGGGTCACCAGGGGAGCAGTGGCCTCCAGGATTGGGGGTGACCGGCCATCTGTTTATGAGGGGTTTCTGGGAACTTGACCCTGGGGAGAGGCAGATGGTTTCTTAGGTCCCGAAAAGTAGGGTCCCCCCTATAGTTTGGAAAACAGGGGAGATTAAAATGTTGCTGATACTCCTCCTCATCTAGGATATCTTCATAAAGGGCCTTATGGTTAGTGGTAATGAAAGCGTCTGCTTGGCCTAGAACATCTTGGCCTAACAGGTTGGCCGCCAATCCGGCAGCGATGAGAGGTTTTACTTCCCCTTTTGTGCCATCAGCATCTTCCTAGTGAAGGATTTCATCGGTTTCCCACGTTGGGGTTTTTCCCCCTACCCCCAAAATTTGGGGGCCTGGAACTAACTTCCAGCTTGAAGGGACTTCTTCCCATCTAAGGACTGTTAGATCTGCCCCCGTATCAACAAGGCATTGAAACTCTTTGCCTTGAAATTTAAGATTCATTTTTGGTCTTAAACTAGGAACTATAGGTACAGTCCAATGAGCCTGGGGTACTGGCTGCCTGGTAGGGCGTGGAGGTGCTGGCTTTGTATCCCCTTGGGGTGACGGGGCAGGGGATTGCCCCTCCTCTAGTTTAAAGGCTTTCCGTCCTTGTCAAACTTAGACCGGCATTCACGCTTCCAATGAAGCCCCTTACCGCACCTACGGCACAGCATAGAGGGAAGGTTTTTATTTTTCCGGTTGGGACAGTCCCTTTTGAAATGACCTTGTTCCCCACAGCCATAACATTGACCCCTATGGGAGGGTTGGCTGGGGCTCTCCTTAGGGATCCTGAAACTAAAAGCCTGGGTCATAGCACCTGCAAGGGTTTCCGCTTGAGCTTGTAGAGTGGAAGTTAAGGCCCTGGTTTGTTGTTGGTAGCTTCCAACGTCTCCACTGGCAATGACCCACTTTTCCATAGAACCATCTTTGAGCCCGGCACAGGAAAGCTTGTGGTCGGCAGTCATGCCGTCCCACACTAGCATTTTTACAAACTGGTCCCGGAGATGACCTGGGAGAAACTTGCTCTGTATGCTCTGTTCCACCTGAACTATGAAAGAGGGCAGGTCCTCGGAGGGTCGCTGGGTGACCCCAGCCATTGCGGGCTCACTGCGCCCTTCAGCCAACTTTTTCCATGTGGCTAATGCTGTTGCCCTAACCTGGTCCTGGTAGGAGGCTAGGATAGCAGCCTTTTGGATTCCAATACTAAATTGATCTGCTGTTCCAGACAGCATGCCAAAGCTGATAGGGATGGGTGGGTTGGCTGCTTGCTTTATCTATGCCTGCACATCGCACTCTTCATCAAAGAAGGCGCAGAACTTGATAAACAAGTTTGGGGGGAGGACAGCCTTACAGAGCATTT